GACGGAGCGCACTGAGCTCAGTCCACGCCTCTTCACCTAGCTCGCGTAACTGCGGCGACATCGACAATAAAGGAAAAGGCTAAGTAATTCTGCGCTTCCATGTCTGCTAACTCACCTCTTCCTCTTGGCTGAGGCTCCCTCGCACGGGTCAGGCTTAGCTTCTCCGTTGGCGTCTCCTCCTTCGTACCGCCTCGTGAGCAAAGGGTGCACTAGTGTGGAAGGTACAATTGTTATCTCCACCATCAGTCGGGACGTTTCCAAGAGGGATGGAATTAGCCAAGCCACGGCGTTTCCACCACTGCTTATTTTCTTCCTAAATTGCTCCTTGGCACTGGCAGAGGAATGCACCCAGAGACGAGACCGCCTCTGCCAATGGTGATGGGGCCGCCCCTCCTGATACAGCCCCTAGATTGCGTCGTTATCAATTATACAGCGGCAGGCTTCACTCCTTCCATGCAATCTGCCTTTAGCACTAAATAGAATTCAAGCAGAACGCAGTGGTAGTGAATACATGAAATACACAGAGCTATTTCTCTTACTCAATTTTTTTTCAGTGGGAATACGAGCAGCTCCTCAAGACGCCTGGACGAGCTGTTCGAACGAGCATCAGCCCGTCATCACGTCGCAGCAAAGGATCATCTTCCTGTCCAGAGCTATAAAGTTCTAATTAGTGGGAGAGTTGAAGAGTCTTAAGGTTTCTCCGAAGAGAAACTCACCATGAACCAGATGCATCACGTGTTGCTCAAAATAGGTCACTCCTCTGGGACTACCTTCCTCAATTTTCCGTTTCTCTTTTCTTTCTTTCTTTCTTTCCTTCTTTTTCTTCTTTCTTTCTTGGGAGAGATATGGGTTTTAAACGGGTCCTTATCTAGTTTCGCTTTCAATAAAATTTCATTATTCTACTTTTTCTTTGGTAAAATTTCCTCATGACTGTACGATCTCAGTCCTTGCTATGATAGATTAGATGTAATAATAGTTGTTGAGTAATCTGATCTGTCTCATGTCCTTCAGTCTATTTTGGCGATCATTCTTTTTGTACTGTCCTTTTAGCCCGTATCTACTGCTCTACTTGGCGTTGCGTTTCAGAATTCGTCCATTTACTGGACTGTGCTTTTAGTAAGGGGACTATGTCTGAGACTTTCCTTGCTTTCGATCAAGGGCTTCTGATTCCTCACTGTAATTCTTCAATTTGAGAAACTAGGTGATTGGATGCTCAACATAATAATAATGCGTCAAGCCTTTGCCTTTATGTAAATATGTTTGTTGAATAAACATACTAATTGGGTACTGAATTCTACTCAAAGGCACACACATTTTTGCCATCGCAAAGAAGTGCAGATAGTGAAG